AGAGAGAGAGAGAGAGAGAGAGAGAGAGAGAGAGAGAGAGAGAGAGAGAGAGAGAGAGAGAGAGAGAGAGAGAGAGAGAGAGAGGAGAGAGAGAGAGAGAGAGAGAGAGAGAGAGAGAGAGAGAGAGAGAGAGAGAGAGAGAGAGAGAGAGAGAGAGAGAGAGAGAGAGAGAGAGAGAGAGAGAGAGAGAGAGAGAGAGAGAGAGAGAGAGAGAGAGAGAGAGAGAGAGAGAGAGAGAGAGAGAGAGAGGAGAGAGAGAGAGAGAGAGAGAGAGAGAGAGAGAAAGAGAGATAGAGAGAGGGAGAGACCGAGAGGGAGAGGGAGAGAGAAAGCGAGAGGGAGAGATAGAGAAAGAGGGAGAGAGAGAGTTTGATATGTCTAAATAATATATGGAGGTAACTTATATGTCAATATGAGCTAGCAAATAGCTAAATCGTATCCGGCGGGGGGCACGGAGCCTCATGGGGGGAGGACACGTGCCCCCTTTGCCCCTCCCCCTCTGCCTGCACTACTGCTTCAGAAACAGCAGCATAAGCCGATTCTAAAGTTTCCAAATGCTATCAAATCATCAAAGTATTGGTGGCGGGAAAAACTTCGGCTATGCCACCAATGAGTTCTACAGGCGGGTGTACCAACATGGGTCCTCTCCCAATAAGTGATACCTCAGTCCGGAGCCTGAGATGGGTCCATCGCGATCCCCATTCTGAGCCTAAGATGAGATCATTCCCTCCCAGGTCTGCCTGGGAATGTTCTCAGGTCTAAGAGCAGAACTTGATCCTTTCCGGACTTAACCTGTGCCTTTTCTGGGCAAAAAAATGACACTTCCCAGACTCAACGTGGGAGAAGTCTGAGTCTAACCACGTATGGGCCAATCCCGGGCTTAAAAGAGGAGGGGTGTCGTTTAGGCGCATGAGATGAGTACTTGCTCAGCCTAAAATGGATGGCCCCCTGATCAGTGGCGACCCTTTGAAGTCTGCTATGGCCCTTTGCATACCTGGGAGGATTCTTTCTGAACCTACCATGGGCCCTTTCCTAATCGAAAACGGGCCCTTTCTGAGTATACGATGATCTTACTTTCCTGATCGCAGATGGGTCATATCCGGGCTTAAACTTACATGGGCGTTTCTGCCCGGAAATGGGATCTTTTCAGGGCTGAGAGAGACCCATGATAAGTTGAAGGCGGGACGCAGGCCTGGTCTGCGTGCTGGGTGCTGGTGGAGGTTGGTCTGGGGTGCTGGTGGCACGCATATTTCCCCTTTGGTCCGGACGGGCCCTTAGGACTCCTCGGGACCGACAAGCAAGGACCCGACTAGGGGGCCCGGAGAGTTGGCCAGAGGCCGTATCAAGGGAGCCTGGTCAGCTCCCTGTCCCTCAGAGGGCTTCTTGCGCCGAGTGGGCCCCTGGCGACAATGAGGGCCCGCCAGTCGATCCGCGGCCACGAATTTCGAACAGTCTGCCCCGTGGCAGCCTATGGCCAATTTCCAAAGCCAGGATTATCCTGGGCCCGCGATTGTCAGACTGAAAACGCTTTGCATTGGTCGGGGTTCCTGGGGCAAAGAGAGGCCACTGCGTTGGTTAGGGGCTCACATTACGCCTAACAGGAGACTCTATGTCGGCGAGGGCTCCGAATCGGTCATGGTTCCGTTTTCTGAATAGGGATAGAAACGTGACTCTGAAAGTCAGGAAGCCTCTAAGTTCACTGTACCCGCTGGCACTGAAAGGAGATAGGATAAATGGCAATGATATGGTCCATAATGAGACAGTGAAAGAGTCTTTGTCAGCAATGAGCCCAAGAACGAATGTGGCCCCGGACCTCCACCAAATTTCAGTCACACGCCCGATAAACCAAACTGGAGTTATCTGCCAGTTATTGGACCCCGTGTCGGTAAGCGACCCTTTGGCGCCAATGGGGCTCCCTGCATCGATCCGGGATCAACTGCTCCGGTCCGAGGGCCCCCCGCGCCAGAGAGGGCACCGATGCATAATGCGTCCCTCTGCGGGCCTCCTGGTCGACCAGGTGGCCCCGACCCACGTGTCTCCGGCAAGTACCGCGATTGGCGGGTTGAAACGGATATCCCTTCAGTCTCTGATCGGGAAAGGCAATGGAGCCCCCTAGAGTTATACTTAAGGGGCTCTCTGTCCGCGCAAGGTATTAGGTCTCCTTAGTGTGTAATCCACTGGGCCCCGCAGCGAACGTATTCGTCGGCATAATGATGCAAAAGAAAAAAGCTAAGGGCCCTTGAAATAAAATGGACCAAGTCTGGTGAATTTCCGGGGTGTCTTTTTAGCGGGAGCCCTTTTTCAAGCTGTGTGCCGCCGGTCCGCACTCACCAAAACTTTTGTCTCTCCCCTGATATAAGCTGGAGCTTGTGTGATCTGGGTTAGGCCTTTCTAGGGGCTTAAGTGTTTAGATGGGCCTTTCCGGACCTGAGATACCCACTTTCTCAGTCTAAAACGTGTCCTTTCATAATTTAAGAAGGACCCTGCTTGCGTTTACGATGAGCCTTTTCCAAACCTAAGTGGGCCGTTTCTGTGCTCACGATAGGCCCCACGGAGAACTGAGACGGGCCTCTTCTGAGTTTGCGATGGGCCTGTCGTTATGAGAGAAGGGTTCTTATAAGTCTACCATGGGCCCTCTTCAGACCGGAAAGGGCCTCTCCCACGCCTGAAACAGTTGTGCGGGTTTTCTGCCCTGAAATTGGTCCTTTCCGGGCCTAAGATGGACTCTCAACGCTTGCTTTGATGGCACAACAAACGAGCCTCTTCCACAAATCCGCCAGGGGCCCCATTTGGGTCACCTGCAAAAAAGGAGAAAAGATAGTTTTGGACCTTACCCCATACATGGGGAACAGTTTGCCCCGCGTATACACCGTCACTGGCTTTCTGAGCCTAAGATGGGCCCATTCCAGACCAGCGATGGGCCATTCCCAAGTTCAAAAAGTGAGATAGGCCAGTTACGAGCCTGAAGTTCTCCGTTTCTTGGCCCATGATGGGTTCTATCTGACTTGAGACGAGCCGTTTCTGAATTTATGATGAACGCTTTCCGGACTTGAGAGGACCCTCTCTGAGCCTGCGGTGAGCCTTTTTCCCCACCTGGCACGGGACCTTTTTGAGGTTACGGTGAGCCCTTTCCAAAACAAAAATGGACCCCTCCCGTGCCTGGAAGTGACATGAGTGTTTTCCCGTTTTGGAATGGGCCATTTCCAGCCTAAGACAGGCACTTCGCGGACACGAAATAACTCTCTCCTGAGTCTATGATGAGCCCTTTCCGGACTAGACACGGGCCCTCTACGCTTGTTTTGGTAGCACAATACCACGCGGGAAAACGGATCCGAAAACGACCATATCGATGCATCCTGTGGCAACTCCCCAGGCACCGACATTGGGATTTGACGGCCAGCGGGATGTTTTAATTTTTACCTACGCTTCTGTCAGGAAAACCTAACGAAGATGTAAAGCCGCCGTGACACCACAAAACGTTGCCGTAAGTGGATCAAACACACACAAGAAAAGGTGCCGCTATAACGCGCGTGCGCAGAAATGAAGGCCTCCCAGAAAGACGCCACGGACGCCAGGGGACAATGTGACGCGGACCCTTTATGTACTTCGCCGGAACGCAATCAGCCGCGAGATCATGCACCGTAGCTTCCTGCGACCGAAACACATCAGAGAAGAGGTCAACGCGATCCCTTCAACCTTTATGAGCTCTTCCTTTCGCGCTATGCTGCCGTACTGCTGCCGTATACTACTTCTAATGAGTTCAATGGATATATTCATTAAGCCCCGGTGTTTCACGGACAGCTGTGTCAACACGCGCTCAGCGGTAAGGCGGGTACCACATGGAAAGCATGCCTCACACGATCGAACGCACGCAGACATGATCACACGGTGACCCATTAATGGCCATCAACGTAACAGACCATGAGCAAGGTACCTCGCACCAGGTCGCATGGGGACGCTGCGCACGGCGATAGCCCGCGTGGACAAGCCGATCACACAAGGCATCGTGTTCGTGCGAGGAGCTCAACTGCGATATATTTAGTGGCGTAAATGAAAATATATTGTCTGCGAAGCACATCTCACCAGGCCGCTTGTGGACCACGAGCACTTAAGCTATTTAACCGTTTTCTTCACCCGAAGAACACGGTTCATACAAGTGCCTCCGTCGGAGTAAGAGATCAATGACCGCGTTACAAATGGATGGAGTTTAGAAACTGACAAAGTCGTCGGGCTGCAACAGGCTGTGGTAATTTAAGGGAAAAGAGAACACGTCTTCAACTTCAAACTGGTTTTATACCAAAAACATGCACGCGTTAAAATACGAGGAAGGGGCAATCGAGGCTAGCTTGCATGATTCAAAAGCAGGGTTCAAAAGTTACCATTCCGGAACTCGCTGTATGCTGGATAATGACCAGGTGACATTGGAGCCACACACTGGGAGCGCAGTAGCATCGAATAGGGTGCGTAATCTGGCAATGCCACAATAACGAGCAAAGGCTTGCTGTGCAACTTGAAGCGCATAGCGGAAACCACCTTACATAGTTGTCATATTCGTAGGCACTCATTAAGTAATGTCAGCTACGATCTTTTGCCTAAAAAGGACCCCAATGTAACATGAAGGGCGTGACTGCGTTCACATTCAGCATCAAGCAACCCCTCTTTGCAGAGAATCGCAAACTTGCTTTGCGAAAAAAGTCATCTGATCAAATGGCACACTTATTTTAACAACACAAATTGCACGCTTGCCCTAAGCGGCAAGAACCAGTTCGGGGACCCGCAGCCTTTGACAGTGACACCGTTAGCGTAGCAACGGAGATATAACACTCATATGCGAAAACTTAACACATCATAGCGCCCTGGTCGGCCCCGGCTGTGGAGCCACAACGGGCCGCCGATCAGCATGACCGGAGGGCGGCCCGACTCGGCGCCGCCGCCTGCGGCTGGCCTGCGTCACCAGCCGGGCCGGCTAGGCGGCCGGCTCCAGCCAGCCAGAGATGGCGTCAGTGTCGGCGGCCCCCAGTGAGGCCGGCTGTCCGGAGGCGGCCGACAGCAGCTCGAGCAGGCCGTGCGTCGGCGGCCGGCCGTCGCCCTCGCCACAGCGCAGGTTCGGCTGCTCGCAGGTCAGCAGCGTCCGCAGCACGCGCAGGAAGTCGCTGATGCCGTCCGACGACGCCATGCGCGGGAACATGGCCTGCAGGAAGCTCTGCAGCAGGCCGAGCTTGTTCATGCAGAGCGTGACGCAGCACGGCTCGGCGGTCGAGCGGCCCAGCAGCAGGCTGTCATGCGAGCAGCTGGCGCTGTGCGCGCGGCCGGCCGGCGACGCGCCGGTTCGACAGTCGCCGCCGGTGTCCGGCGCACAACAGCCACCGGCCGGCGCGGCGGCGGCCGGCGCCGTCTGTACGGCCGCGTCCGCCCGCTGCACATCACCGACGGCCGTCAGCGCCCGGAGCAGCACGGACGTCGCCGGCCCCTGCCCCTCCCGCTCGCGGACCGGCGAAGGCGGCAGTGGCGCGGTGGCCGGGCTCCCTGGCTCCGGCTCACGAGGCGGCGGTGGCGGCTCCAAGGCGTGCTCGGCCCCGGCGGCCGCGTCCAGCTGTCCACTGACGCTACCGTCGGCCGACGCGCCACCGTCGGCCGCCTCCAGGAAGATGGGCGTGCCCCAGTCGACGGCGGCACCCGGCGTCGGCCCCAGCCCTCCCTGTAAGCGCACGACATACGGTGAGAGTGGCGGCGCGGCGCGGCGGCCGCCGTCCGACCGGACCTGATGACTGTGCCTTATATCGGTGGCGTCGCTTCCGCCCCTCGCAATAACCCCTATAGCGGATAGATAAACCGGGTGGTATGGGCTGCTACAGCAAATAGCGCGTCCATAAATCCGCATTCGTACCTTCGTAACACCAGTGATGTAATCGTGAGTTGACAAATAAAAGACAGACGTAATCATGTTTTCTTCGTTGTTGGGATTTACCATAAGGTACCATACTCCTTACCACCAGATGCCAGCCAGACGTCGCAGTTTTGGAAATTATTTACGTGGTGGAAATACGTCTAATGATAAGCATCATTGGATACTGGCTCACGCTCAGAGCATTCACAGTTGGCGCATTTCGTGTTTAAGTCACACTACAACTAAAATAAACGCATCTGGGAGGCGCCGCCCACCCGCGGCGCCCACCTAGCCGCCCCCACGCCTGCACAGCTGTCCTGCCCCCCGCAGCCGCGTCACCCCACTCCTCGCCGGGACTGGGCCGTCCGGTCCGGGGTGCGCCCACCCACCTGGTGGTGACGCACGGCGTGCAGCCGCTGGGCGGAGCGCGTATGGAAGCGGCGTGTGCAGCCCGGCAGCCGACAGCTGTAAGGCCGCGGCTTGGCGTGCGTGCGCTCGTGGCTGCGCAGGTGGTGGGCTAGCGCGAAAGCCCGAGAACAGCCGGCCAGCGGGCACCTGTCGGAGAGCGGGGGCGGGGGTCAGGCTGGGGTCGCGCGAGGAACCAGCCGGCGTCAGTACATGGGACCAGCTATTGTCTGTCTTCTGCTGAGCAGGTTCTCGTGAATTATTTTATTGAATTTACTGGTTATCACTTTTGTTTTCGATGCATGCGCTTGTGGCTATGACCACTTGTGTACATATGTTGTGATTGGTGTCAATAATTATATATATTGTTCTCACTAACCTTGGGTCACAACATAAAATGTTGGTCATGCTTAAACAGGTACAAAGTTGTATACGCTTTGCAACAACGCGCCAAATGTCAGAACGAAAAGTGCAATGCGAAGGTAAATTGAGGTCAGAAAAGACTGGTTTAAACTTAGCCCTTCCAGCCAGCCTACCGTCTAGAAGGAGCATTCGCTTAGTATACCATGCAACATGTCTACATGTATTTCGTTTCGGATATTCCACGTGTGTGTATTAGGATATACCTGAATGGCTTTTCACCCGTGTGCGTCCGCTTGTGCTTCTTCAAATCCGACAAAGTGGTGAAGAACTTGAGGCAGTTCCGTTCGGAACAATTGAAAGTGGTGCCTTCGTGGATGCGTTTGTGGGAGTTCAATCTGAAAATAATAAATTCTGCGTCACACATGAAGCTGTGAAAACTAAAACCGCGATGAGTGATGCGTGGAAAACGCACCGGTCACCGAACACGGCACATCGCCAGCGCGCTTTGACGCCTTTCATGTCAGCCTCATCCTTTCGCCAGCACTGCGTCTCAGCTGCGACCAATGGCCCAAAAACAGCAACATGCATCCTAGCAATGCTCGACATTTCATGACATCTATATGACATTTTTATATAATTTCTGTATGATTTTTCCAAAGCTCACCGGTACAGAGTGCGGAAGGTTTTCTGACAGCCGGATATGTTGCAGCCGTACGGTCGCTGCTTGGAGTGCACGCGCAGGTGCACCTTGAGCCGGTACGAGGTCATAAACATCTTGCCGCAGCTGGGGTCCGTGCACACGAAGTTGTACTCTCCTGTAACGCCCCAAAGTCTTCGTCAAGTACGCAGCATACGGCATGAACACACAGGGCACGTATCTCAATTCGGATGCGATTTTAGCTGCTCTACGGCTTCCTCCGCTACGATCGACTTGGGAGATTGCCACGTTCGTGACCATTGCAGTTGCATGAGCTGTAAATGAAACGACGAATCACTGAATCCGGACGGGACGCGGGAACAGCAGCAGGAAATCTCCGGAGACACCGGAGTGAACCTCCCCTCCCGGCTACAGCGGATTACAGCGAATCACTGAGGACTCGCTGCACTGTGAGGTTCGGATACTGCCGCGGGTGGGTTTGCACTCGGATGCAGATCTGGTTTGAATATGTAGATAAGAAAATATTCGGTTTTTTACGTCGACATATCGAAACATTATCGCCGTGTAGTTCCCAATATTAAACCTTGGTTTTGATTCTGGCTGATTCTCTCAACGCCCGTGGTTCGTTTCTAACTCAGCCAATATAATATATCATATTTCTGATATCTTATAACTATATCGCATTCTTCATTTGGTGGTATTACTTAGTGCCAGTCTGTGTAGGTGTTCAAATTTTTTGTTTGGGTGAGGTACAGAGGAAGTACATGACATCGTACACTATGCCGTTCTAGTGTCGTTTTGGTTATTTCTGTGTCGTATGGAAAACTAACTACAACAAATATAATTATAGTTGGTTTCAAACCAGTGGGACCACAATGATCACTTCCGGAATTGAGCTACTTAGCTGAGTGTTTTCTGAACATGCCACAACGTTTTCACGGAAAATTTGCATAGGCTACCTCTTCTAGCAATGTATAGTTATCCATCTCTTTCGGGGGATGCTTATATTCACGCAGCGATGATCAATGAGCTCAAAATACAAAAAAAAATCTGGCTAGGTAAGCGACTTCATACGCAGCTCTTGGCGTGGCTCATCACCATGTTCGAGGAACTTCTCCTAGACTGTGAAAGTCCCTTGTCAGATGGAAGCCCCCTGGATGTCGGCTGTCTGGGAAGAGCTAACTCCCTCTCTGCCAGGAAGCCCTGGTGCCATCCCTGAATGTTCGGGTAGCTACCACGGCTGTTTTACTTTTGCTACCCGAGCAATCAGCGCAACATGGTTTGCGGCGGATCATGATCGCGGCGGTGGTGGCGGAGTAAAAGCAGTCACCACAACAGTTCAGTGCGACAATCACTAACACAATGCAATAAAACACAGGACAGAGAACTTAATACGATGCAGCGGCGGCATATGCGCATGACGTGTAGCTTACTTGACACAATTCTAGCCTAATACACTTAGCGATACCTTTTTTTGTATATTCAGATGATGGTTCGAAAAACTATTTTTAGCTTGGCAATGGCATTTAGTTAAACAAATTCGACAGTGGTTTGTATAACTTCAGTCCTGCCTTTCTGAGCTTGAACAATCGTTTCCAGTACTCGAGGGTTTGCGAGATTCGGATCCATTCGAATCTAATGGCGTCATGGGAGAGTTCTCAGCTCTACCTCCGGCCCAATCAGCCCAGGTCATCAGCCGATTCAAGAGCGGGGGCGTGGCGCGCCGGCGCCCCGCCCACCTGTGTGCTTCTTCAGGTGTGTGGTCAGGTTGCCGCGCGTGCTGTAGGTGCGCGTGCAGCCTTCGTAGGTGCAGTGGAGCCGCTTCACCTCGGTGCGGTTGGTCTGCGGGTTGCGCGAGGTCAGCGTCATGGTGGCGTGGCTCGGCTCGGAGGGCATGGCTTGAGAGCCCGGGTGCACCTTGATGAGCACCTTGTCCGCGTGCACGGTGTGGTGCACGTACCTGCCGACAGTGCGGTCCCGGTCAGGCGGGGAAGCACCACCCGGTGTGCCAGACACGTGCAGGGTGTCCACAAATCAAGTGTGGGCGTACTTTTCGTAATAGCGTTTTTGATATACATTAGATGATCAACATCCAAATATCACTTGATTTGCCATAGGTCGGCAAAACGCATCATCCTGGCGACTTCTCCAATATGTTGTAAGAGTACACCCCGGCGGTGAAGGACCATCGGCAGGCGGACCTCCCCGCTGGTGGGTGATGGTGTCTTCCGTCATCGGAGATGTACCGAGACACGGCCCGCCTCACGGACGATGCCGGTCTTTAGCCACTCTGTGGTGCGAGTTCTGTTGACGGTGCACTCGATCCTTGAGGAAGCCCCACATGGATAAATCGGCTGAACCGAGACCCGTCGAGTAGCACGTCCATGGAGTGTCCGGCTTGTAGCTGGTACAGCAGACCGGAAAACCAGCTTGCAGCCAGCCGAGCGACCCTGAGCGGTGTACGGCTCCGCACCGACTTGCTGCTGCCATTCCTCATTACGACAGAGACTACGTCTTAGGTTGAGGCTCTGTCTTGAAGGGCATCAACAAATCTCGCACAACAGAGCAGCTGGAAGCCGCAATCGTCCGTGACGGCGCGCATGTAGAGCGTCCTCTTTCAGAAGCCGCTGATAGAAGGTTTGAAGGCCGACGGTCGGCGTTGTCGATGATTGAGTTGCGCCGACCAACGACAACCCAAATTACACCGGAATGTTGATTATGCCATGTCAAGTGAAAAAGGTTACTCAGTTAAAAAATGTTTTCATTAACTTGATCCGTGGACACCCTGTAGCAGCGAGCCGTGCACGGGGCTGCAGGATTTGTCCGCGGCACCCGCCAGCAGTCTGCCTCTACTGTATGCGGACGGACGGAGGCTGCAACGGAGCCACTCACGTGTTCGAGAACGATACAAGTAATTCAGTCAGCCCGTAGGCCTCAAAATAACATATACGCCGACGTGCCGTTAATCCCAAACCACATCACACAACTAGCCCCACCCAGCGGAAATTCTAAGTACACGAAACCCTAATCCGAAGTCTTCCCCGGTTTCCATTACCCATGGGGAGGGTCGGCAACGCACGCTCACCCGATAGAGTACTGGGGCGCGGTGGCAGCGTCGTCCTCAGGCTGGCGCGCCGTCTCCTGGGAAGGACGGCGGCCCATGTCCACCACCAGCGACGACTGCTCCCCGCTGCCACTCATCGCCGCTCCGTCTCAGCGCGCGCTGAAACAAAGAGCACCTGCTGAGTCACAGCCGGTGACAGAATACCGCGGTCGCGATCCCGCCCTGTAAAGCTCTTAATGCTGGGGATCACGTGGCTCTGCTGTGCTTGCGATAATCACGGCGCGCGTTCGTATCAAGCTTCCGTGTCGGGACTGTAGCCCTACACTTTCGGACAAGACAAGCGGGCACGGCCCTCTCCAGTTCACTTATTTTCGTTGGGGGGGGGGGGGGGGGCAGGGGATGGCGAGCGGGACAAATCTGCAAACGGCTCGGAGCATCAATGACACTTTCCCCAGCTGGGTATCGAACCTGCCAACAACTGGCCTGAAAATGCTTTCCCGGCGACCATTGAGAAAATCGGCGCCCGTCGACACATGTTTGGTTCCACATTCTTGTCCACGTGACACATATGTGCGTCAGGTGATCACAACGTTTCGTGGTCGTTAAGGTGTTGAGTAAAAACACCGAGAGCCTCAGATATGCTCGTGATAGTCCCCAGGGCTGACGTGAAGGCCACATGTAGCCAATCTTACTGCACTCAGCTGATTTAGCCCTCTAACCCGTGGTATCATGAGCCAAAGCGACTGAAGGAGTGCCAGAGGTGATGTTATGGCTATTAACCATCGGGGAGACGTCCATTTCTTAAACTGCCCAAAGCGGTGCTGGTTGACTGTTAGGTGCATCAGTATAATGGCTGCGAATGAAGATCGCAAGTGCATGGCCATCCGAGGCACATGCCATGGAAGGTCACACAACATCAAGTGACCTTTCATGACCTCTTGAAAGCAAATCATCAGGCGTTGTACTTGCATCGGTCTTACTTGACAAGCATGTGCAGGACTACACTGGACTGGAAAAATGTCATTGGGCTGGGTTTGATCCAATTTGAAGTTCAACCCTAAGGGATATCACCTGCAGCAGTCGAACTCTGTACACCCATACGGTGCCTTGAGAAAATGGGCGGAGAGGCGTACTCCGCATCCGCGTACGCTGGCGAATGCGGCGTCTGGTATGACGAAATAACGGCTGGCTTGGTAAAATATTTCGTGAATTAGCAGAGCACGATGCAGCTTCCCACATATTTAACCCAACAAACATTTTTTTTCTTTCTGGTAGGCCCAACTGTGTGCAATGACAGTGTGCAATGAAGCGTTCATTCCATGGCGATGCATGCTGGTTCGGTTGCTCCTATTCATAGCTTCTTAGTCGATCATATCAGCAGTGATCACGGGCCAGGGAGGTCGTTGGTGGTCTCAAACCAGACCTGATGTATTTCCGTCCATGTCTATACATAGGTTTGAAGGGCGCAGACATCGTCTGCCAGGAGTGGGCGACTGGCAAATGCCACAACCGCGAAGTGCGGGGCCCAGTTTGACCAGTTCGATTGGCCTGCTTTCAGACAAGCAACGCCAGCTTTCCAGCATTACTGTATCTCAAGTTTTTTTTCCAACTCATGACCGTGTAGGAGCTCCTGTAAGTGGCTGAGGAGAGGGGGGGGGGGGGGGGCACACACATTTTAACGTAAAATACCGTCATTCCCAGAGCCATTTTCTCCTCTGACCCGGTGGCTTTCAGCAATTTTTAAACAGTCATAATAATTTTTTACTTTTTTATTTTACCTCTTTTTAAAAAGTTCTGGCTTGTGGCCTTTATGGGGAGGACAATAATTTATGGCAGAAGTCTATAAATTGCATGGTTTGGCATCGGCCCTTTCATGTGTCTGAAACGCTTTGTTTTGTGAATAGCAGCGCCGTCCTCGAAAACACGGGCATTTTGTATCTAGTCAGAACACGACCTGGGCCATTCTGCCGGTACGGAACAGTTATCCACATCCCATAACCTGCTACAACCTCGAGGCTCCGCCGAGGACAGTACGGAGTGTGATGACCCGGGCTGCCTGCGGCACGGCCCGCTGCGCAGGTGACGTCAGGCACTCGGCAGCCAGCTGCGGTCCACTCGCCAGTGGCAGGCTATGAGCGCGATGCTGCACTCACGACCAGCGGCCACTGTATCCGTAGCAGAGAGCGCACACTTCGCCAACTGGTGCCGCATCCACCGCGCCCGACCCCACCTCCTGCCTGTCGAGACGGTCAACGGTGCCAGGGCCGTCCGAGCAGTGCCGCCGCTGAGACCTCCTCACGCACTGAACCGCCATCCAGATAGCCTTGACTGCCTACGACGCGTGCCTGGTCAGCATGACAACCATCGTCCCGGGAAAAAGGCGGCCGCCGGGCGGTGAAGTGACGCGACCCAGCGCCGGGCGGTGGTTGAGGCGGGCCACCGGGCGGTAGGGTGACGCGGGTCGCCAGGGCGGTGGAGTGAGGCGGCCGACGGACGGTGGGGTGACGCGGGCCGCCAGGCGGTGGGGTGACAACAGCCGCCGGGTGGCGGGGTGACACGGCCGCGGGTGGCGGGGGTGACACAGCCGCGGGGCGGTGGGGGTGAGGCGGCCGCCGACGGGGGGTGGCGCGGCCGCCGGCGGATGGGTGAGAGCACCGCCGGGCGGTAGTGAAACGGCCGCCGTGGCGGTGGAGTAACGCAGCCGTCGGGCGGGTGGGTGAGGAGGCGGCCGCCGGGCACATCCTCCTGACGTGTCGGCAGACCAGGTGGTTGCCGTGGACGCCGTCGCGTAGCTCTTCGACAAACCGACTCCCGTCGGACCAAGAAGGAAAAGCACACGGAGCTTGCAAAGCCGCTGGAGGGGGTCTTTAGTCGTATCAGTGTGGAGCCGCTGATAATGGGATCCCTGGGCTAGAGCATTCCAGATACCCGCCAACGTTGACAGCAAGCGTGCCGACCCTCGTCCCGGGAGGCACGACTAGACTTACTCTGACTACGATGGCCGTGGGGCCCATCCCTGTCCACATTCTTCTCCGCCGCTACGCGGTGAAGCGCAGGCACCAGACGAGCAGCGCGCCGGCTGGCGGTGGGTCGGAGGTGGCGGGTGGCGCGCATCGGCACCGGACCCCGCGGCAGCCGTGTGAGGTGGTCACACGGACGCATCATGAACCCAGGAACGACGGCGGACTGGTCGGACCGGATGGGCGTCGACACAGTGCGTCGGAGGCGGCGGGTCGGCCGACGGCGAGCACGGCGTGTCGGCCGGCCAGTCAGCGGAGGCCAGGGACGGCGTGTCTGACGGCGGCAGTGACAGAGACGCCTCGGGTGACGGCGAAGGCGTGCCGCTCTACGGACGAGGCAAATGAAGCCATGTGAGCGACAGCTGGGGTGTGCACGGTGGCGGTGGCAAAGACAGGAGCGCAGATGTGCCCGAGGGCAGCGGCGTGTCTGGCGGAGACCGCAGCGAGGCGCGGATCGCGCAGCGGTAGCCAAGGCACGCTGGGCGACCACAGCGACAGACACGGTCGCTGACTGGAGACCCTGGTCGACCGGCACACGACAGCGGCGTGGCCAGCGTCCCACACGGGCGGGCCATATCGTCGTGACCCAGACAGTCGCTGACTCCGCGAAGGGACCCTTCCCGCAGCAGACCGGTACGCAGCTAGCTGGCGGAGGACATCTGCCGCCATCGCTCCATCGCACCATCTGCTCCATCGCACCATCTGCATCATCTGCTCCCGTCGCTCCAGACCCAGTCCCGGGAAGCCACCGGTGTCGTGGTAGAGAAGTCAGCAAACAACTTTATCCCAGCGGTACCGTGCGGCAGTGTACTAAACGCTCACGTAACGTCAAGAGCCCTCGCCCCGGCTGACCAGATGTCATCGCCATCACTCCCCCTTCAAAAGCAGCATGCAGCAAAGCAAGCAACAGCACCCTGTGCCATTTAATGTCGTGAACGTTTTACCCACGCAATGTGATTCTCTAACGACGTGAGAACGCGCCAAGATGGACGCGACAGCATTTGCAAAAAAACACAGTTGGCGACACGCGTGTACGAGCGGGAGACAGCGGGAGACAAGACCAGCCTCAGGGCCATGGCATTACCACAGCCACCACAGGTTCACTTGCAGGGTTTCATTTTTGCATGTGCATTTTTGTCTCCTGAGCTGTTGCACTTCAATCAAATTGTCCTAACACAATTTGTGATACAGACCACCCAATGTTCATTGGTTCTCAAAAAAGGTCTCCTCTTTTAATGGAAAGAACACAATGCACTAGGTGTACACCTTGAAGTATATGATTCAAATGTGGTACATAATGCTTTGCTCTAATTATGCTCTAGTTGAATAAGCAGGCACATACAGTGTCATTGTATTTTTGGCTGCAACAACCATTTTGGACCATGATTGAATTCATCCAGGACATAGAAGTGGCCAGTATATTTCAAAACTTTTATCAGTTTTGGCACTGTTAAGGGGATAGCAAACACTTGTACTTGAGATGTACCCATGTCCATAACAAACAAGATATCAATCAAAAATCCAAGGCATGACCATTTTGAAACCTGGTATGTCATGGAAAATGCTGCAATCTTCACTACTTACCAAAATATCCCTAACAAAAAGTCAGTGGAGACATGACTGAGAAAGTAAACAGCAATGGGGCATGTGGTCCTAACGTCACACATATGTGCCCAAACCATCTGAGGCATATGGTCCTAATGGCATTCATATGTGTCCAAACTATCAGTGAAACTAGAGCACAGATGGCTCTACCAGACCAACTGCTTTTCAGCAGATTCCTGGACCCTGGTAATGTTACAGATGAGTGGAAGACAGCAAATATGCTACCTTGTAAAAAAAATAATGCCATATGCATTCAGGAAACACTAGGCCAGAGAGCCCAATTTTGCTGATAAGCAAAGTTTTGGAAATTATCATCACATAACAGTTTGCATCATTTTCTTCAAATTAAGCAGCCATTCATGGAATGCAGCAGTTAACTTACCTCAGGGTGAAGGTGACTGCTGCAATAGCATCCTGGACTTTCAGGGTGGGTTTCCAAAGTCATGTTCAAAAATGAAGTTGAATATATTTTCATACTGATTTGAGCATATCTCCCAAAGGCACTTCTCACTTAAGACTCAACAATGACCTAAA